TATATATATAAGGGTGTCAGGAATTATCTGATGGGTATTAAAAACCATATATGCAGAGAGTTTCCTCAGCAGCACACTCAATAGAGAAAGGGTTCTCCAAAAGCAGACACTTACAATTTAATACCTAGAACAACCAGCAAATAGTGGATCAGAAATTAAGGGTAGGTTAAAAACTAAAGGCAACTTTGGTGGGCCTGGTGGCACGTTTTTTGCTCCAGGATCTCCTGACAGCTTCAAAGACTTCCTGAAAGACACACACACACTCCAGTGGAAAAAAAGAAAAGAAAACAGAGATCCATGGCAGTTTTGAAGAGCGACTGTCCTGAGGTATTAAATGGTGCAGGGATTGGGGAGGGGGGAAGAGCTGTGGCATATTTAAATAGCTGATCACCATTCCTGAAGGCTTTCTGAGATGCATTTCAATTTTCCATATTTTTTTTTCTAGAGAAAGGAGGGATAAGAGAGGTCTGGGGACTGCAGAGACCACACTTGACAGGCTGTTGGGCTTTTCAGAGCCAGTGTAGCAGGGCATTCTGTATCTTATAGCAATGAGCCAACTAAAGAACTATTAATTGTTAGCTGTCATTCTTCACACTAGTTATCTAGTTACTTGATTAAATTTAAATATATTAGTATTATTATCAAAATCTCAAATTTTAAAGTGCCTCTGAAATTCTGAAAAGAGTATAAAACAAATACTATTTTATTTATTTATTTATTGTATTTATACCCCACCTATCTGGTCAAACGACCACTCTAGACGGCCTCTATTCTCAAAGGAAACTATCTTCAGTGTATTTTTTAAAAATTGACTTCCTTTTTATAGCATAACTCAGGACTAAAAGATCCACAAAAGATAAGCATATATATTTGTGATATAAGTGTTGCCCTTCACATATTTTAATCATTCCATAGTCATTTTTTATGATTAAGCTATTAATTTAAAGCTTGCAGTTTTACTTCTGCTGAATTTATATCATTTGTAAGTGGTGACATAATGCACAGACATTATGCATCTGCAAGATTAGCTGGCAAATTTTGCTTTTCTCTCTGTTTCTGTTCTTTCTTGCGTTCCTTCCCTCCTTGTCTCCTTTTTTTAGAACATCACCATTCATCAAGGCCTGGTCCAAAGCCACTTTGGCCTGTATGGAACAAGAAAATTAATTGATCTCAGCAGCCTGCCTTGGTCTGGCCTCTGTGCAGATTCAGTGATATTCAAACAGACTTTTGAAACTTCATTTTCCTTCATTTAAGGCAATGGTTCCCAACCTTGGGTCCCCAGAAGTTCCTGAACTAAGCTCCCAGAAGCCTTCACCACTAGCTGTGCTGGTCAGGATTTATGGGAGTTGTAGTCCAAGAATATCGGGGGACCCAAGCTTGCGAAACCACTGATTTGAGGAATCAGATTGCGGGAAATCAAGCACAGGTGAAAATCTGCAAAGAGTTAATGGATCAGCTAGGGCTGAGGGAGGCACTGGCTACTTCTCTGGAGACTATATACTGCAGGTTGGAGAACGCATGGCTTTTCCAGTGTGATTGGACTGCAGTTCCCACTAGCCCTAGTGAGTGATGATAGGAGCTGCCTTAGCTGAGGGAAGTGAATTGGGGGTGCTAACATTTCATGTGCACTCTTCTTGGAAAACGCATGCATGTCTCATCCTCTGTTGAATTTGCTTCACTGACATATATTCTGTTGTACAATGAAGACAAGCCACGTGTTGTTAATAATGAAATTGTTCCTTTGCAGCTACGGGATTGCATTCAGAAAACCTTAAGTGAATGGAGTTCAAAGATCAGCCCTGATGTAATGCAGGTAAGTGATATTTTTATTTCTTGGCTCTTTCTAAAGGCACGAAACAGATACCAGAATTTTGTCTAGCCAGGAGTTAGGTCATTGCTGTTTGCTCAGTTCCAGTTCAGGTTCAGTTACTCTAATTTGGTTTCAGTTTGAGGAACAAAAGGCTCAGTAACAGATTCGATTCTGTTTCCTCTGGGAAAAATTAAATATAAGCCCCATTATTTACATTAACTTGTTGTATGGTAGGGTACTGCAGGCTAACAAGTCAAAAACCTTTTCAGCGCTCCATGGTGTATTCTACAAAGCATTCATGAAACAAGACATTCGTTCTAAGTACTTAAGTGAAGAACGTACTTTCTGTTTGATTTAACTATACAATGAGAGTTATATATAATTAGCAAAGAAGCAATCATGTTGCTTTTAAAGAGGGGGAAGGAATGGTGACTAGTAGCTTCAAGAGTATATATTTTAAACTGATTTAATAAAACTAGGGAAATAAAGAATGTGTTAGGGTTAAACAGTAATTATATGCAAGAGTTTACTGATCAACTCTTACCCTTCTAACGACTGCTCTACCAGACAAAACTGCCCAATTTGATTCTAGATTTCTGAGCTATGCTTAATTTTTTTTTATTAATAGCGATGAGTTAGAAAGTGAACAGTTGATGCAGTTTCTGGGAAGCTTATACAGTATTCCTCTGCCTCTAAACCACAGTTCCTATAAATGTCAATGACTTCTTGTGATTGAACCGGTCTGTTACCATAATAAATAGTTTTTGAACAGATGGACCTGTATGTTGATGTTGACTAAGCCTCTGCCACAAAGCAAATCAAATCCCCAGACAAATACCTGTCCAATACTATCACGCCCAGCCCTTGAAGATGGCAAAATATAAAAGCTTATACATACCCAAAATATATAAATTCACCTGAAGTTTTACTTTATGTGATAATCCTGGTTATGATGGAGCCAATGAGTGTATTACATCCAAGTAGGGAGGTGAGCCCTTACTCTGAACTGGCAACCTGGTTTTCCTCAACACCCCTCCCCCTATTTCTCTTCCAGTTCAACAGAGAGTTTCAGGTACTGTCCAGGAAAAAGCAAAGGCCGGTGTGTGTTCATGTACTTCTGCTAGTTCAACAGGTTATTCTCCCCTTTCCCTCCAGCCTGCAGCCTTCTGCACCATCCAGAAATGTCCTGTTCTTCCCCAGCCCCCAATTTCACTGCATTCTGCCAGCAGAAGGACACTGTGGACTCTTGCCAAACTTTCAGTTTTTGGTTCAGCTTCAGTTTTTCTGACACAACTTGGCTCTGTCCCTATGGAATGAAATTAATTAGTGGAAAGATAGATCTTGCTTCTGGGGATCAAAATATGTTGGCTTCAGCATTCCTTGCCATGCTGCTTCTCAGCAGTTGTGGCAAATTTCCACATACCATTCCCGTGATACAAAAAGTTTAATGGAAAGTAAGAGTCTACAGTATAGTGTTAGTGAAGTGGCATCAGATTTTGCCTGAGGAATTTACGAGTCTTTCTCTCATTGCAGTATTGGATTCATATTTATTCTTGTTTAACATGCCGGATGCTGTTGAAATTTGGGACCAGTTCACATATGTGCTGGTAATTTAGAGAACTTGTGGCCAAACAGCAGTTTCATATGTGAAAACCAGCTGTCTTTGCGTGGGGCTGCTCACACAACCCCTAGTCCATGCAGCTCATACACCCCACTTGACCCTTCTGTTGGTGCATGGATTGGGTGGTGGGGACATCTGAACCCCTCCCACTGGAATCACAAGACAGAGAAGGCTAGGCCATGAGAAAATATGTTACACAGTTGCCATATTTCCTTAGAATTGAATCAGAGGCCTGTGGCCAAAGAGTTGGCTGGTTTATAAGACTGGCCCTATGTCTGTTCTTACTAAAAACAACAATGGCAAATAAACAAAATCAGCTATCCTCATTTTATTTTATTTTTTTAAATAAAATTTTAAAAAGCATTGAAAGTGTTCACTTTTTACATCAGGAGTGAGTAGCTTGGGCAGTCCAGAGGCCAGTCTTCTGCCCCAGAATCCTCTGAGGGACCACACAGATCAGCCAGAACACCAGAAATGGTTGGCTGGGGAAGCTGATACCTGGCTTTTAAAAGTTGGCATTTTTCCTGTTAAATATTGTGAGGGGGATGTGACTTATTTAAAAGGTGGATGCAGCTCACCGTTTTTCGATGAAAAGGGGGAGATTGAAGTAGAGCTGGAAGGCCACAGAAACTTACTTTGGGGGGGGGCACCTGCAACCCCAAGGCCACACGTGCTTCACTCCTGTGTTACATGGATCCTCAAGCTGCCTTTCAAGACTGAATACAAGCATAATGTAGAAAGAGGCCTTGCAGCAGACCATTCTTTAAAACTGACAATGAACATTTTGGCACATCTTGGAGACAGATCAGCTGCCCTCCCTCACCTCATCCTTCTGAAAGAAAGTAAAGAAAGCCTTTTGCACTTGGTGCCAGACATGGGGAAATGATAGGCCTACAGGAACTTCCATTTTTCATATGTGAAAATCTGAGTGTGAGACGCAAGGCAAGAGGGTAGAAGCTCTTGCTGGAGTGCCGTCCTCCCTCAAAAAGGAACAAGAGGTGCAGAAAGACCTGCCTACACCACCCGTCGAGACTATACAGCAGGGAGTTGATACCCGGGAATTAGAGCGGGAACTGTCAAAAATGATAGTGGCCACTCAGACCGGGAGTGACTTGGCGGGAAGAGAAGAAGAGACAGGTCCGTCGTAGAGGCAGGAATAGGAGATATAAAAGGGGAGGTGGACGTCATACCAAGAGGTTGGGAATTGATATGGGTAGAGGACCCATGGACTGGAAAATGGAAGAAGGTGCAGGTCCCTAGGGAAGAAGCTGATTACAGACGAAGAAGGGGGCTGCCACAGCGTCCTTCCTACTGGGGTGAGTCGGAAGCCGGGCGGCTCAGGGAAGAGAAGGAGCCAGTAGAAAGGGAGGGAAAGGAACATTGTTTATGGCATCTGGGAGAAGCCCAGAGGAGGGGATACCTGATGGACCGTGGGCCCCTCTTCGAGGAGAGGACGACCGTTATGAGTCGGAGGGGCGAGATGAAGAGGCCACCCCATTATTAAACCCCGAAGCAGAAGCTGCTGAGATGGAAAGCAGTAACCCGTTTGCAAAGGGACCTTGGAATGACTCAAACTGTACCCCCTTTTGTAAAGATGTTTGGATGCCCTCGTGGGACTCGTTGGCTACGAAAGACAATGCAGAACTTGAGTTTGAGCATACGGACTTGCTGTTACATGTTCCAATAAAACATAGTTATGATTTTCCAAAGCAAGTGTCCCCAGTGTCTCTGTTGAAACCAGAGGAGGTGAAATTTGAACCCTCACACTGAGCTTGACTGCTTTCTGGATTTTCTTTGCCATCAAGATACGTAGTTTAAAGTTACTAATTGCCAAAGTACTCAGAAGCTTTTTCTGACTGTCATGCATTTCTTTTCAGGAGACGCCAGAAATCTTGGACTGTATGCTAGCTCAAGCAGTAGAAAAGATCAATCCTGAAGAAAGGGAAGAATTGAAAGTGTCAGGTAAATCTGATTGGACATTAGATGTAGAGAAAAGCTCCAGCTTAGTCTGCAAGATTCTTAGCTGAAGAAGAGGGATAGGGATGTGATCTTCTAGAAGTGCTTGGATTGCGTCTCACCCACACCTCTGTTGTAGCGTTTGTAAAGTTGTGCCACTTGTGCTTCCTGGGAAAACCTATGGGACTACAGTAATCATATGTATGATTCCTGATCAGAGCATTAATACACTCTTTTGGAAACAAGGATTTTCTCTGAATGGATACAACAAATCCCCTTTATAATAACAATCTTAGAACTGCAGAGCAGGAAAGGACCCTATGGATTATCGAGTCCAGCCTCCTGTCCAGGCACCGTGGGGAATCAAACTCTCAACGTCTGGCTCAGCAGCCAGGACCTAAACCACTGAGCTACATAGCAGTTCTTTAGAGTGTCTGTCAGTGGATCTGTGAGTCTCTTTTTTAGAAAATAACTGAGAGCAATCATAACCAAACTCAAGAAGTAATTTCTGTTGTTATTATCTGAGCAGAGCTGTGGTTGTGGGAAAGGAAAAGGTCTGCTAATGCTATTTTTAAAAACACATTAAGCACTCAGGGAGCATATCTGCAAATGTTTCCAAGGATTCATTTATGCAAAAATGTAAATCAGGCTACAGTTCACCTGAGATACTTCAACTAACAGGACTGTTGCGAAACTGCTTTGGAATCTCTTAGCAGATCTATCAATCTGTTTTGTTGCTCATCTTAATCAGAAAGTTCCCTAGAAATAAACCTCTTGCAAGGAATAAGCTTTATCTCTGTGTTTAAATGGATATATTTTCTTTAGGTCAAGGTTCCCTCTAAGATGCATCCCTGCAACTCTCTCCCCTTTGCTGTGCAGCCTTCCTCCATGCATTGACAGCTGTTGTTTTCAACCCCTTTGATTCACATGGGGGAATTGTGTGTGCAAGTAAAGTCACACATGCGAGGAGCAGAGCTGAAAATTAGAGGGAACATTGCTTTAGACGCAGGGTGGTGGAAACATACAAATGCAGGAAGAGGTGATACCTTTAATCAATCATTTGGAATATAGGGGATGTGGTGCTGCTGCAGGTTAAACCACAGAAGACTCTGTGCTGCAAGGTCAGAAGACCAGCAATCATAAGATCAAATTCACGCAACGGAGTGAGCTCCTGTCGCTTGTCCCAGCTCCTGCCAACCTAGCAGTTCGAAAGCATGTAAATGCGAGTAGATAAATAGGTACCACCATGGTGGGAAGGTAACAGCGTTCCGTGTCTAGTTGTACTGGCCACGTGACCACAGAAACTGTCTATGGACAAATGCTGGCTCTATGGCTTGGAGACAGGGATGAGCATCACCCCCTAGAGTCGGACACGACTGGACTAAATGTCAAGGGGAACCTTTACCTTTACAGGAATATAAAACGAAAAACAAGCAGCAAGCTTTCGATGATAAATCATCTTCTTCAAGGCTGTCCATCAGGTTCTTGTGAGCAGTTCCAAACTTATGTGCTGTTTTTAATGTCCCAAATTCACCTAGCTGATGGTGATAGAGGCCAGACAAGCTTCTTAGATCTAAACAGCTGCAGCATGCATGTTGGTTTCAAGCTCTTCTTCAGCTAGCAATTCAGAATTTATGGCATGTCTCTTAAAACAGAGGACAGTCACAGGCCATCTCCCCCCCCCCGCCACCTTTTGGAACTCAAAGGGGTTCTTTTTAGCTGGGAGAGGAAAGGCTGCCCAGTGGCATGGCCTGCCTCTAACAGAGTTGGTATTGGGAATTTATTTAAACCACCAGAAATAGTCAATTAAAGCCAAATAAATAGTTCTACCTGGTGGATGCTTTCTTTAGCATGGAGTACTGCTTGTTTGGTGTCAAGAGTCCATGATGTTTGAGAACTCATGTTGGTCTTCAGTTGGTGCCCTGATTGGCCATTCTATGGTATCTTACAGTTCAGAAGTTTTTATTCCTTTAGTGGTAGCTGGGAGTAAAGATATGTGTTTTCCTAAGTTAACATGGAAAGCTCTTTTCTTTTTTTAAAAATATATTTATTTAATTAATTTTTTAAAAAATTCCCCTTTTCTCCTTAAAAGGACCCAAGGTGGCTTACATAATTACAAGACTATATTAAAGCCAACAGCATACAAATACAGTAGTGCCACACAAGATTATGTTAATTTGTTCCGTGAAAATCGCTGCCTTGCGAAAACATTGTCTTGCGAAATGCTGTTCCCCATTGGAATGCATTGAAATCTATTTAATGCCTTCCAGTGGGGAAAAAAATTGTCTGCTTGTGAAAATCGCCCATAGGAAAAACATTTTGTGAAGCTGTCAAAATCGCTGTCTTGCAAAAAACCATCCCTTAAAAAAAAAAAACGTTTTGCGAAGCGCAGACCCAGCTGTCACAATCGTCTTACGAAAAAAAATGGTTCAAATACCATTAAAAATGCATAAGCAATGTCAAAACACAGTCAAAGCAGTAAGGTACAATCCAGTTTTAAAAAACCCCACTCAGGCAGCCAGTCACTCAGGGGTGGCCAACATGTGACCCACTGAATTTTATTAAACTGAAGCTCCCATGAGCCCTCCCCGTTGATTTTGTTTACTAGGGCTCACAAGAGCTGCAGACAAACTATTTCTTGAGGGCTATATGTTGTCCATTCTGGTCTTAATCTGTTCTAAAACATTCTGGGTGGAGTCCTTAATGTTTGAGAACATGGGTGCCAGGACAGTGTACTGTGCAAGTGTAAGCAGCGTTCCCTTAAGTGTTCTTTCTTTGGCGATAAATTAATTATGATAAAAACAAAAGAAAATCACCCTTCTGTTGCCCAGTTTTATACTCTTGTTCAGCTACATCTGTTAGCTGTTGCTAGCTTACAAGACAGATACAATTGCATACGCTGCTCTTCTTGAGCAGCTTTTTCTGAATTTTAAGATACTGTACTAAAATATGGTTAGAATGTAGTAGCAGCAAGTGATCCTGAGTCATATATATCATAAGAATTTGAAAATATAAAAAAGACTGATCTGCCCCATTATATAGCTGCATGTGTTTTTTCATAAATTAATGCCTGATGCCCAGAATCTTATTGCATATATGTATCTGTTGGCATAATGCGTGGCATAACTTTCAGTCTCAGATTGGTACAAAAGTATCACGTCAAAGTAGGTATTTCCAATTACACACAGAGTCAGACGAGTGATATGTGATAGGAAATGTCTTTGCTGATTCCTTAACTTGAAGTATTGTTGAAAGTTATGCTGCAGGTCTAATGCTGGTGGACGTAATATTAAATAGGATTCTGGCTGGCATTTTTGAAAATGTTGGATCTGTCCATTTGGATTCTTGTAATGTTCAAGATATGGCATTGGCTTTGAAGAGTTTTTGGAAAAATTTAATTTGACTGGAATGCAGCGACCAGGGCCACTTAAAGGAGCATGTGATTTCCTTGGTACAGCAGCTTCACTGAGCCCCATTCCATTTCCAGACACAGTTCAAAGTGCTGGTTGTCAGAAGGGCTTATATGACGTGGATCTAGAGCTATGTGAAAGACTGTAATGTTTTGTACAAGCCTGTACAGGTTTTAAGGTCTTGGAGGAAGAATCTTCTTTTGGTTCCACCATCTTTGCAAACACATTTGGCAAGGAAACAAAAGAAGGTTATCTTGGTGGTCACCCTAAAGGCTGTGAAATTCTTTGCCACAGGAGGCTAGACTGACCACCTCTCTTGTCCTTCCACTGCTAGGCTGAGCCATTTTCATCCATTAAATATTTCAGCTGGATTGAAGGGAGTTCTGATAGGTCCGGTGCTGTTATTTCTTTTCTGTTGTTGTTTAGTCGCTTAAGTCGTGTCTGACTCTTTTTGACCCCATGGACCAGAGCATGCCAGGCCCTCCTGTCTTCCACTGCCTCCCAGAGTTTGATCAAATTCATGTTGGTCACTTCGATGACACTGTCCAACCATCTCGTCCTCTGACGTCCCCTTCTCCTCTTGCTTTCACACTTTCCCAACATCAGGGTCTTTTCCAGGGAGTCTTTTCTTCTCATGAGAAGGCCAAAGTATTGGAGCCTCAGCGTCAGGATCTGTCCTTCCAGTGAGCACTGAGGGTTGATTTCTTTCAAAATGGATACGTTCTCTTTGCTGTCCAGGGGACTCTCAAGAGTCTCCTCCAGCACCACAGTTCAAAAGCACCAATTCTTTGGCGGTCAGCCCTCTTTATGGTTCAGCTCTCGCTTCCATACATCACTACTGGAAAAACCATAGCTTTGACTATGCGGATCTTTGTCAGCAAGGTGATGCCTCTGCTTTTTAAGATGCTGTCTAGGTTTGTCATTACTTTCCTCCCAAGAAGCAGGCGTCTTTTAATTTCGGGGCTGCTGTCTCCATCTGAAGTTATCATGGAGCCCAAGAAAGTGGAATCTGTCACTACCTCCATATCTTCCCCTTCTATTTGCCAGGAGGTGATGGGGCTAGTGGCCATGATCTTAGTTTTTTTCCCAGTCCAGTTTTTTGCATAATGTATTCTGCATATAAGTTAAATAAGTGGGGGGACAATATACAGCCTTGTCGTACTCCTTTCCCAATTTTGAACCAATCAGTTGTTCCATATCCAGTTCTAACTGTTGCTTCCAGTCCCTGTTATTTCTTTTTTACTGATAGACTTTTAAGTCTGTCTATGGCCTTCCTGTATTTGCTTTTGTTTGTATTCACTGTTATTAGCTGTACAAGGTTGGTTTGTTTCTCAAAAAGGCCAGATGCCAATTTATACAGGAATTCTATAAACAAATATATAGGACATTGGGTAGAAGTAGTTTTGAATGATTGAATTCTCCTGTCTTATAAGTAAATTCCTCTCCATGCAGTATTTACATAGCAGGTGCCATAGTTATTCAATATTTGATGTCTTTTGATTTATTTTTGCTTTTAAAAAGCTTAATATCACAGCTGTTCTTAAGTATAATTTTAAGCAACAGACTGCTCGTTAATGTGCAGGGTTTTTTAAAAAAAATACTGTAAATTTGAATTCAGTAGGCAGTGTTTCCAAAATATATGTGTGGAGCTGTAAACGTAGGGCAATAAATACGCTACTAATGAGAAAGGCAAAGGATCTTAGCACATCTGCACTTTGAAAGACCCACAATGATTTGGGTGACACTGAGAGTATGGGAGAATGGGAGGCTGCCATATTCTGAGTCACATCTTTGGTCTGTGGAGCTGAGTTTGGTATATGGTTTGTTTGGCAGAGCTTGGAAATGTTCCTTTTTCGGACTGTGAGTTGCAGAATCCCCTAAGCCGACATGACCACTGGAGGACTCTGGAAATTGTCACTCTAAACATAGCTTTCCAGTGCATTGATTTCGGGTCCCTGGGGTTGGATATGGATGCCTTCTACATGAAAGGGATATACTGTACTTTATCACTAAGCAATGATAGTCAGTATATGCTATGTGTGTTTACTATTAAACGGCCAGAAACACATGGTTTTGTGATTTATCCTATCACATAGTGAAAATATAGACTGTTATTTTAGTATGTGTAAGGAATACTCTGATGTAGTTTAACATTCTCTTCTTTTGGGAGGTGCACTGGGACTGTTCAGCTTGCTCAAGGCTACACAGGCTGGCTCTGGTCTAAAGAAGCACAATGGGGAATCAAACTCCTAATCATAGCCAGGTTCTCCAGCTCACGGAACTATTCATCTAGCTGTATGTGTGTATTATATTGTTTATCTTTATATTAGTTTCCTTACTAACTCCAGTTCTTTATTTTCAGCAAAATTGTTTATTGCTGGATCAAACATTTCATCAATCAGAGAAGCAGTCAGTATGAGTAAGTTCAAGATGGAAATGGGACTTCCAAGTGATTCCTTGCAGTTAAAAAAAACACCTTCCATAGCTCTTAAAAAAACAAAAACAAAACCCAGCCTTTCTTTTCTCAGAAAGCTATCTCTTGTGTCTTTTTGTCACTGCCTGTGAACTAAACTTGGCAGAGACAAAAAAGCATGTAATCCTTGGACCTGCAAAAGTAAATAGAACCTTTTTATCATTGAAGAGGAATGCAGAGTTTGGAAGGTCTGCAGTTTTGTGGTGGTGCAGGCTTTCAGATATGCTACACAGAGAGAGTTGAAGCTTTTATGTTTTTTGTCTCAGAGTTTGGCCCTAGAAAATTCCTTGGAGTAGAAAGGGAAAAGAGAAAGGGGGGGGCTTTAGTCCTGTTGTTAGAAATGACTTTGTAGATGTGACAAATTGGATGTAATGGTGCCATATTCCTTTTGCAAGCCTCAAGTAACTTCGAAAATAATTTCAATGTAGCTTTCATAAACTACAGTTGAGTGTCCAAAGCCCTTAAAATTGAGCATATTTCAGAATCTGAAGTGAATTTGTGTAAAGTTTTTAATCTTTTGTCTTCTGTAACATTGCTTTGCTTGATCTTCTACAAGCGTTTGTAATTCTCAGAATTTATATAGATTCACTGACTTGAACATTAAGTGAATTGGGATAATCAGACTTGCATTTCATACATTCTCTTGTGATTTAATTTCCCTCTTATAGTAAGCATATTTTCCTTTTCCCCTCCCAGCATGTTCTGCCCTTGGTGTTGAGCAGTTAGATTCTGTGATTATTGCACCACCTCCAACTGAAGACGGAATTAACCTTTCTTTAGAATATTTACAACCTTACTGGGCAGAGCTTGAGAACTTGGTTCAAAACAAAAAGATTGTTGCCATAGGGACTTCTGACCTAGATAAGGCCCTCTTGGAGCAACTGTTCTTGTGGGCACAGGTAAGATATGAGCTGTTCAGCTGGAATAACCTGTCTCCCCCCCCCCCCCNCCCCCCGAGCACTATGTTCTCCTAAAAATTTTATAAAATCAGAACCAATGGAGACATTTTGATGGAGAAAGACTACTGCTATGTTTGATAAATTAAGCAAATCCTCTGTGTAGAAAAAAAAAATGAGTAACTTTCCTTATTCCATAAAGAGTGTGCAGTTGCCCAATCAGGTATGGCAGTGGTGTGAGAATGACTATATTGTTCAGTACGATGATACATTCAATGTATTTATTTATTTATTTATTTGATTTATATCCTGCCCATCTGGTCTCTGTATACACATACAGAGAAGCTTTTTTGACATTGAGTGAGCAACAGAGAAAAAAAGCCACAGTGGAAGGACATTCAGAATTAAGAATATGGGTTCCACTGGAAAAGATAAGCACCAAAATCTATTTGGAAAAAGACTACAGAGTTTATGTGAGACTGGAAGCAGCCTGAAGCTCATTGCAAACTGCTGGAACCTAAGGGAAGACATGTTCCAATGCCTTGGTAAAACTGTTTAGGTTAGCCCTGTTTAGGTTAGAAGAAGCCAATTCAGGGTATTATGAAGACGTGTTTTATAAATAAGGTATGTTACACATTGAATTTATTCTTGTGTTGAACAATACTGTCAGTCCCACATTTCTGTTGTATATACCAATGAATAGGGGAAGGATTTCTATGATATGTCGTACTTTTTCTGCCAACTATGTTTGAGTTTATAGGTGGGTTTGAACATGTTTTTGAGTAATCTGGTGAGAAAGGCCGGATTATTCAAACATGTTTGAACTTGCTTATGAGTTCAAATGTAGGTTGCAGAGAAAATGTGAAATGTCATAGAAATCCCCTCCACACTAACAAACTACTGTATCCAGGAAGTGTAGTGTACCCTGAGAATATTTAATATCTTTTCCAGAGTTTTTGGAAACTCTTTTTGGAAAAAATACTGTATTTTTCCATGTATAAGATGCCTCCATGTATAAGACGACCCTTACTTCTTTAACCCAACATTAAGAAATCAATATTTTAAACATAACAGAACACGTTTGATATTTTTTAAAGTATTCAAATATTAAAGACATATAGTGGTGCCTCCCTTAGCGATGTTAATCCATTCCAGGAAAAACATCGCTAAGGGATTTCGTCGCTAAGGGAAATAAAAAAGCCCATAGAAACGCATTAAAACGTGTTTAATGCATTCCTATGGGCTTGAAAACTGACCTTATGCGAAACTCCTCCATTGCAGTGGCCATTTTGGGTGCCTCTAAAGTGAGGCTACATAGCAGGCAGCCATTTTGTTTAGCCGGCGGCCATTTTGGCACCACCTATCAGCTGGCCGAAAACGGGGGCTTTGCGATGGTTGCTTCCACGCGATCATCGCAAAGTGAAATTCCCCCATAGGAAACATCGGAAAGCAGTCGCTTTTGCGATCTCAAAAACAGTGTCGCAAAGCGATTTCGTCGCTCAACGGAGCGATCGGTAAGCGAGGCACCACTGTATTTATTACCAGTAATTAGTTAATACCTTTAAGATACATATTATGAAATTATGCATCACTCTCTGTTCTGGGCATGGCGTAAGCAGGGTATCCTCTAAGCTGGGCGGGTGTGTCTCTGTCTCCCTCCACACAGCTCTTTTCCTCCTATGAGTGATCCCATTCAAACCCTTTGGTTCTGGTTGCGATGGAACCCTGCATAAGGGGAGGGGAGATTGGAGTTGTGGGCGCCACAGGAGGAGAGCTAGAGAGAGGCGGAGCCCAGCCAAGCAGGAAAATTAGCGGATACCTTGGGCGGAAGCCTGTTCACAGAGACAAGGTGTCAGCAGTTTTGCTGCACAACCACCGGGGTTCTTTCAACTGGCTACCCTCGCGGATAAGACGACCCCTGATTTTGGGTTTAAAATTTTTTGAAAAAGGTATTCTCTTATACAAAGAAAAATACAGTGATTTTTTTTCCGTGCTCCCTGTTGGATGCAGCTAGATGTAACAGCATCAGGTAAACACTATAGTGCTCTTATATATGAAGAAAAGATGAATGTTTCAATATTTTAGGTGAAGCCCAGCAGTAATCAGGTGAATCTTGCATCCTGTTGTGTGATGCCACCAGATCTGACTGCATTTGCAAAAGAATTTGACATCCAGCTCTTAACTCATAACGATCCTAAAGGTAAGACCCATTTAATAATTTTAGAGTTGTTTTACAAGAGTTACAGCAGAGATCCTATGTATGTTGTTCACTAGCTCTCTTAAAAAGAACTGTGGGCAAAACACAGGCCACATGCAGCCCCAGCTGGCCCTGTGAGCAACTGTTTGTGGGCCCTACTTTTGCTGAATTGTGGCAGTGGGGAAAACAGGCTGTCATTTCCATTTAAAGCAGGACTATGGGGAATGCCTGTATTGTTTATCAGAAAATAATATTATTATAAGCCTCCTAAAAGTGCTAATCAGATTATGAGATATTCTCTTCCCCCCCCCCAGCACTTTGTTTTAAAGGCAAATTGCAGGATAGCAGTGATGGGGGAAAACCATCAGTTTGCATCTAGAACAAGACAGGAGAGCACATCTTTGGTTTAGAAGCTGCTTACGAGAAGCTCGCACACCTCTGGGGGGGGGCGGTTTATCTTGTTTTAAAGTTAGTTTGCTTTCATCTTGTTTTCAAGGCACAACTACTATATTCACAACATTTGACACTAGGAAGTGCAGCCTTGGTGGATATAGCAGAGAGAAGCAATGTGGTCCTCAACCCACAAAATTTGTTCACCCTTGCTGAAGGCCAAAGCCTTTAGCCAGATTTGGGAGCATGGGGGAGCAGGAACATATAGGGGTGGCATTATGTTGTTTGAATGATTGAGACTACACATTACGGGTTATTCTGAATGGTGGCACAATAATCTGTTCTGTGTCCCTATTCTAATGGTAGAACTACTTTGTGAAACAAGCTTCCAAGAAACTCTTCAGGAAAGTTTCCCAGACTGTCAAGTGCATGACTGGACTCCACTGTGGCTTCTACGATACTCAGTCATTGTGAAGAGCAGAGGAATTATCAAATCCAAAGGCTACATCTTGCAAGCTAAAAGAATCCCATCATCTTAAGATTCATCTTGACGGTAGCGAGAGCCTAGCTCTGCTACATATTGCACTGAGATGCAAACTGGAATTTGCAAAGACCAAACATTTTTATTCTCAAATTCATGGCAAAACTGAGATTATATAGTGATATAGCAATCTGATGCCATAATTGTCTACCGCTTTCCTTTTCTTTTATGTATGTATTCTGTGCTGAAATCAATTTGCCCATGAATGAAATACTCCTTTTCATTAAACTGTTTGCTAATGTAGAGATTATGGCCTAAATCCCGTTAGTTTCAATTAGAATAGACTAGTGACCAGTTGAATCAATGGAATTTTCCTGTCAACTCACCAATATTTCATTGAATCAGTGGGTCTCCTCTAGTCAGACTAACAGCTGGATTTAAGCCATTAAATTTTTAAAAATGGAATATTTTAATGAGTAATATAAACTAATAATCAGACAAGGTAGACATTGAAATATTTTTGTTTACAAGGGTTAATGTAACTTGTTCAACTTTATTAACTGATGAGCTGTAGAATAGATTTGTTCAACACCAGTGGAATAAGCAACTCTCTGACATAAACAGTGGTACAAAATTAAATGTTTAATCCCCCTTCCCCATTCAGTCATAGTACAAAAGGCCTTTTATTTGGCCTTGGCTATTCCCCCCCCCCCCATTATTTCTGTGTCACAATCCTCCCAGCATATGTTAAGAATTTGGGATGTTTCTGGAACTGGGAAGCACTGGTCAAAAAAACAGAATTCAGTTTGTCAAAGCTTGTTTTGGCTATATTAAATCACAGTTCTTATTTTGAGAACTGTTAATTTGTATTCTAGATCAATCTCAGCATCGCACATAATGTAGATAACTAGATGGTACACTTAAAAAGGAATTGTGTTGTCTGAAATTCAGCTTCTGGATAGGTGGGTTATGCATAAGAAGTTTGTATTTTTGTCTGAATGTGTTTAGTTTGCTCAATTTGACTACAGTACTTCTTCGAAGGAAACAGCTTTAGTAGTTTCTCATTTTTTCATCTATTATATCTCCAAAATAAAGTTTTAATGAGACTTTGCGAGACAGAGGGCGAGAGGGATACCCCACTCACTGGAGAGGCATCCCTCCTCAACAACAAAACTAAGGAAGTGGACCCCAAACCCGCACCAGAACCTACAATGGAACCTCAGCAGGAGACAGCGATAGAGGAGCTGAAAGAAGACATAAAGTGATGATAGGGGAGGTTCAGGGAGAAAAGGCGGGGAGAGAGAGAAAAAGGAGGGTGGAGTTTGAAGCAGGGACAGGGGAGGTAGGAGAAAAGACCAGTTACCACTCGGTTGGGAATGGGTGTTGATGCAGGATCCTTGGACTGGATTATGGGAGAGATTAAGACTGCCAAAAGAAGAGGCAGATTATAGGAGAAGAGCGGAGATTGCTCCTAGATCTTCTTATTGGGGAGAAGCAGAGGCGAGGGAGTGGAGAAGGAAATTGAGAGAGGAAAAGGAACGAGAAGAGAAAGATTGGATTGGAGAGTAAGGGAGATCAAGAGAAGGAGTTGCAGGGAGGACCCTGGGAGAACTGAGACTCCGATGGACAGATCCTGTGGGATGACAACTTGGACGAGGAGACTGTGCCCCTGCTGGAAGGCACAATGAGACAGACTGTAAAGGACTGGGTCCCCGCTGATCTCCTGGGACCATGGGACAACAGTTATAGAAACCTGTTCCTGTTTAAGGTCCCTGCTGATCTCCTGTGACCATGGGACAACAGTTATAGAAACTTGTTCCTGTTTAACGAATGGAAACCCCTTCCAAACCCATTGGCATAAGGAGAAAGGACTCATAATTATGTTCCAGACACTTGTTTATTGTTTAATAGTTGGCATAAGGAGAAAGGACTCATAATCATGTTCCAGACACTTGTTTATTGTTTAATACAGAGGTCATCAACTCCCGGTCCGTGCCCAGGTGGCAGTCCATGGCCTGAGCCGGACCGAGCTACAGAAACAGACCTCCCGCCCCCCAGCATGCACTCCCCTCTCCACAGCTGCTTTGCTGGCCTGTGCGCCCAAGCGCTCTCCTACCCCTTTGTGCGGGCGCTCAGGCGCATGTGCGAAGGGGCGGGGGAGCGCTTATGCTAGTGCTGGCGCATGCATGCTCCCCCCCACTTTGTGCATGCGCCTGAGAGCATGCGTGTATGTGCCAGAGAGAGAGCGCACACCTGTGCGTGCACGGGGGAGGGTGCCCCGCCTTCCTCAGAGGCTCAGCTGGTCCGCGGTCCCGAAAATGTTGGGGACCACTGGTTTAATGCACCAATAAATCCCACACCTGTTTTGAAACAACAAAGATCTAATTTTTTGGAATTGAATTGGGAGCCAAAACAAACCCTCACAGACTTCTATACAAAGACATTCTAATTCTTTTGCCATTTGAAATAAGGATTAATTTTGTATCTGCATCAATGAAAGATTTCATATGGGATGATGAACTGTATCTGGAGTCAAAAAAAATTTATGTTGTAATCAAAATTGACATAAGTAACTAGAATAAATGCTTTTGTAATGTCCATCATATAATACATACTTTGATCCATTCCAGTGCATACACTTCTCATTTTTTTCCTAAAGATTTTAAATAAAGGGATTTAGTATGTGAATAAAAGTTAGCTTGAGTTGATGTTGGGTCCTATTACATTTTAAGCATGCAGTGGACATCCCAAAGCTCAGCTTTTACTGTATTTGGAATCAGGTCTTACTGAAATAACTGAGGCTTTAATGGTAAGTAATGGAACAGGCCATATCTCATTTGTGAAGAGTAGAAATCAAATGGAATTGACTTAAATGAAACTTGTCTGCTAAGATGCTGAGTTAGACTTAAAACAATTGCTGCTGTAATTCCAGATAAAAATAATAAATGTATTGGACTTCTGGAAAATTGAGAATAGAAAATGAGTGAAACTGTAGAGACCCTCAGTAGTTCCTTAAGATTCAAAATGGACTGATCATATTCAAACCTCTGTACAAATGAGCTTTTTACTAGTTTAAAATTGTTATTGTTGATTATTTTAAAAAAGACCTTGCTTTACAGAAATCAGCCGGTAACTCTTTTTCAGACCTTCAGGATCTATTGTGTTTTGAAGAAGGAAATAAAGATGTTCTGATTTTTCTGCCTGAATTACTTACACATTGTGCAGTCTTCTGTTATCTAAGCACACACATGCACACTCCTCAGCTATGAGAGAAGACTAAATTCTAGTTGCCAAGGGCTGGATGGAGAATGGGAACTTGCTTCAGGCAGGGCAGTTTGTGCCAAGGCTGCCTAAGCACCTGTTCTTAGCATATCACTCTGTAACAACAACCTATCCCCAACACATTTGTACCCTAATCTCAAGGGTTACAGCTAGGGTTGAGCCCAGCCAAAAAGAACATTCTTGAAGCTACATACTACCCTCACAATGACGACACATCAGTTTGTTAGCATTCTGAGCAGTAGCCAAAGTATTTCTAGATTTACTGAATGGAAATTCCCTCCAAATAGAGAAGTGACATCAACTTTTGGAAACAGGATTATTCTCAAAACTTTTATTAAAGTTATTGGAATGTGAATTCTGTTCAGTGCACAATGGGTGTCAGAAAAGCCATACCCCACACAAACCAGATTTTTTCTATGTCAAATGTGTTTGCACTGTATCACTTTAGACTGATTGAACACTGCAGTTCAAAAAAAGTATTTAAAAAAAGACTACTGTTCAGTGATTGAATTGTAGGATAAACCAGCTTCCCTACCATTGTGGAGCAGGCCACAATATTTTGTAAAATCAGTGCATGGATAGGAAGTGTGTGCCTTCCAGGAGGTACTTGTCAGACTGCAGTTCATATCAGCCCTAGCTGCTTTAGCCAATGATGAGTGTTGTTGGCACCTTCCTTGTTTAAGCTGATTGGCATCAACAGGCAACCTAAACCTGTTTTTGAGAGCCAGCAGGCAAATATACTCAAATATGTCCTTAAGCAATCTAGTCCGGTGAATGCAGTGACCTCTAAGAGCAGGAACACCTGGACAATCCTAGCACCAACTGTTTTGATTAGAAAACAAAAACAAAAAAATGGATTTTCTTCCTTAATCTGCATTGATTGGTTTCTTATTCACCTCTTTATTTACACAGTTTAAACGTTCTTTGAAAATACTGTTTGATAATAATTTTTTTAAGGAAAATAATATTTAGACTAGCTGAGCGAGAGCCAGAAAAGTGAAGCCTAGATCTGGAATGCTGACTGGGGTACTCTCGTTACCCTATTGCTAAAGTAAGTCTTGAGACACCCTGGACGTCCACAGAGTTTATTGTGCACCAGCTTTCATGGGCAAAAGCCCACTTCTTCAGGTGCAAGAGTAGCTTTCTTTCAGCACCTCAAGTTGGTGCAGTTTTTGAACGCTCCCCCGGCTGGCTGGGAATTATGGGAGCTGTAGTCCAAAATAGCTTTTCCAAGCTTTGCAGAGAGCACGTTTGGGAAATGCATAGGAAGAGCAAAACAAGACAAAAATGTGGCACGTTCAAGACTGACTGCTATGCTTTAATGTGAGCTTTCGTGTATGGAATCCACTTCCTCAAACATTAGCTACTTTTTCGAAAGCGCAGGGACAGGAACTAGCCAAAGCAGCCTGCCCGTTGTGTCCTCCTGTCACAATTCCCCGTCTTAAAAAAACAATACAACCGGTCCTCGGCCTTCACAACCTGCCTGCTTCACTGCTCTGAGATTCCGCTCCCTTCCCGCCCCTCCAGAAGCAAGGCTTGGGGAAAAGTTTCAATGATCCGGCCGATTTCTCTGACAGGAACTATAGACGGAGGAGGGGGCTTCCGCTCGGAGCGTTTAGGGAAGGCACCAGGTAAGAGCTTCCTGTTTGCACGCGTCCCTTGACTCCCGGGAAGATGGTGGCCACCAGGCGATCAACGAGGCGCAGTGAATCGGAGGCGGGGAGCAACGATCCCCCTGAGGTGAGAGCAGTTGGGGCGGGAGAAACGAGCCCGCTTCGCCGGTACCATTCGTCCCCCGCGGGGGCGCGCGTTAGAGTTCTCGCCTGTGGAGGTTTTCTCAGTCGTTTCGTTGACCAGCGGGGGGAGCGCGCGCGAGCGAGCACGCAGCACCAGCGCTTCGGGGCTTGGAGCGCGCGACCGGAGGACCGTTGGTGGGTGGGGGGTGAGTGGAGGAGCGTCGCGTGGACTGAGGGGGTGTCTTGTAGCGCAGCTCCTCTGTTGGGGATGGAAGAGCCGGCCCCAGAAGGGGGCCGAAGGTGTGCGTGGCCGAAGCCGGGGTACGTTGCTGTCTATCTTTTCCGGGTCCAACACCCATGGCCGGTTGCTGGTGGTGGTGGTGGGGCTGTGATGGCCAGGGGGTCCCTTTGGCGCCCCTGCCCCGTCCCAGGCGCCTACTTTGAAGATTGTCTTTGGGATAAATGGACAGCATGGGCGTGCGAGGGACCCGATCTTGTGGGTTCTTGTAAGCTAGTCTTCTCCAGCTTGGTGTCCTTCATGTGTTTGGGACTATGACTCCCATCAGCCCCAACCAGCACTGCTAGTGTGGTGATGATTGTGAGGTTTGTGGTTTAGAATATCTGGAAGTTTCTGTAAAGGATGCTCTGAAGTCGCCATTCTGGCTTCTGTGAAGCAGAGCATGGCAGAAATTTGCTATTTCATACCGATACAGTTTTTTGTTATCGTATCCATCCATCTTGTTCATCCTTCTTGGAAAGTTTCCCTTACATAACTCGATTGTTTGTTTCATATTTGTGAGTAATGTGTGACAAGAGTGTTAAAGCTACTGAGCTAGAATACTGCAATATGGTTGCACTGCAGTGTTGGGGAGGGGGGTGCTTTTCTGTGCTGATCCTTTTCTGCAGCACTTATGTAGGGAGTGCCAGTATGATATTCCACGGTAATCAGGGCATCAACAGAAATGTTATAGCCCACCCTATCAAGAGTGAATGGAGTTCACATAACAGAATGGTGCTTTCTGCCTTTTTCACTAAAGTAATGCTGTTGAGCTGGGATGTAAACAAACCTTATGTATTGTTAGCTCAGTAATCTTATCAAAATGCTATGCATATTATATGATATTATCATAACTGCTACTACTCTTTAGTGTCTCTAGCAGCTGACATAAGAAACCTCTGGAAAGGATTGGGGTTCTTTCTGTTTTTAATACCATGCATTGTTAAATATGTACACACATACAACTGGGACTCTTGAAGCTGCTTTCTTACACCAAGAGCCTAAGGAGATTGGGAAGGAGTTTCTGAGAACAACTGAAATAATTTATAGAGAGAAAGGAGTGTGAGGAGATTACAGACAAGAGGAGTGGTTAAAACAAACCGTGTGATTTTCACCAGAGGCAGATCTAAGAAATTAATAATTATGTACAGATCATTCCATTATTGGGCCTCCATCCCATCGTATTTTGTTATGAAGTATATGTTGAAATTACATGAGTGTTCTCCTTTCTCTTCTTTAAATAATTGTTCTGATTATTTTTATCTTATTTTAATAAACTGCCTATTCTTTAGCAGTAGGGTCCTTTTTAAAGAGAGGTGGGATAGAAATAAATAAATAAATAAATAAATAAATAAATAGTATTTTTTTTAAATCCCTTTCAGGGTGTATGGTGCACCACATATTGTCTTGTGATTATAGCATTTATCCCTCTTACCAGCTTCTGGAGTGTTTAATTATACAACAAAACAAGAGTGTTGCAACTCCTTTTAAACTAACACATTTATTTCACTCTGAGAGCTTTTTTAGACTACATTCTCCTTGGTTGGTGCTGAAACACCAAAACAAACAAACAAAACTATGAGCTAAACACCCTTTTGAGTCCAGATTCCATAGTTCCTCTAGAAGTGTTGCTGAGGGAAAGGTTGCAGTCAGAGTACTGTAGAATTTACTTAGTTTTGCCAGAATCGTGTTAGCACAGGGGCAAATTACACAAATGGCAGTAGCTGTTTGCCAGACTGACAGATGCATGTTTAATCATCTGCTGGTTGTACGGTTGATAACAGGACCAGCAGCTTGGGAAATGGGGTGGTGGTGGTGGAATACATGGGAGACCACCTCTATGCATATGTTAAGTGTCAACCCCTTAATTATTGGGAAACATTTGCTTTAGGTTTTACTCTTGTTCCATGATCATCCTGCAACCTACTCTAGCTCTAAGGATGGATATTTCTAGGAAAATTTTATCCATTTACTTTACCAAAAGAAAATTCAGAGTTACTTGCTCCTAATAAGTGCCAATAGAACAAGTATTTTACAATGCAGGCTTATGTATGTTTACCCTGATGTCAGCCTCATTAACTGGAGCTCAGGTTTAGTTAAAATCAAAGCCTCTAAACAGCAAAATGTGGGTCAATAGGTAACACCTGGGTCACCTTATGTAACCCGGGTGGTCTTAAACTATAATTCCTAGAAGTATTTACCATCAGTTGTTCTGGCCAAGGTTTCTGGAAGTTGCGCAAGAATGCTCGGCTTACCCAGGTTGCGAACCATTGCCCTAAAGTATGTCAAGCTTTTTTTCATTGTTTAGTGTCCAACAGTTCAAATTCTAAGAATCAGGTTCTTTCAAAAGCCTTTAGTATATCTAAAGCTGATAATGCATTTACCATGGTAAATGTTTTTCAAAGGCAGGCGGAAGTTAAAACGGCTGGATTACTGTACGTATTAATGCAATGTTGTTTCATTATTATAAGAGATAATGCCATAGTATTTTACTATTTGAGATTGGAGTTTCCTGTGCAGTTTTTAATTTTTGAATACCAAGTATTTGTTTGTGTTATTTGACACCTTTCTCATTCTCACAGCAGACTTCAATGGAAGGCAGTGCATCTGTGCGAATAACTAGGAGTAGAAGCAAGGTGAATTCCCATGCAAATGACATTCCTGAATCTCCTGGGAAAATGAAGGCATCTGAAACAGAGTGGGATGTGGAAGAGCCTGCAGAGGAACAATCAACTTTGAATAAGACTAAAGCTGCATACTCAAAAGCCTTGGTTGCTGAAGTGCAAGCTGATGGAGATGTTTCTGAAGCAGAATCAAACTGTTCTTCTGTGTCAGGTCTTCAGACACCGTCTTTTATAAGAATAACAAGACGACGGCAAATTGTAGTTCCTTGTCAGCCAGAATTTCCAGCTAGAAACAGGCAAAGCAAGAAAGCTCCTTCAACTGAAGGAAGCACATGTCAAGAAGATGATGACATCTCTGAAGCAGAATCGTGTTCTTCCACTGTTTCAGGAAGGAGGACACCAAATGTTTCAAGAAGGACTAGAAATAGGCAGATCAAGACTAACATGTCATTGGTGCTTGAAGCCCAAGCAGAAGAGGTTTCTGATACAGAATCATGGTGCTCAGGCATTTCTACAGAACCATCTGCGACAGTAAAGCGGGTGACAAGGAGTATGCGATTGAGACTGCCAGGAGAAACACCATCAAAAAGTGAAAGGAAAAGTGAAGTTATGGTAGAAAATGCAAAACTGCCTGAACATGCAGTTACATCTGAGACAATAGTAATTTCTGACTCTGAACAGCCCACAAAAGATGATTTTGATACAGAACACGCATTCTCTCTCTCTGACCAGATAAACAAGAGCCCACATAAAAGCACGTGCCATTATGGAACTGTTGTCAACAGTGATATAAAACAGAGCAGCCCTAAAAAAACAGTGACGGAAAACACCCAAATGTCACCTGAAAAAGAAGTGCCAAAGGGTATCAATTATGAATCTGTGGGTAAGGCAGGAAGGGACAATGACAGGAAAGAATCAGTTTCAAAGCAAATGTCATCTAGCACAGACAAAGTGGTGGGGAGCCCAGATGAAGAATGTGATCAAACAATAGACAAATCCATCACATTAATTGAAAACCAGTCACCTATAAAGAGTCAAAGCATATCTCCTTGTAATCACAAAAATCTTGATCAATCTAATATTTCTCCAGGACCGGCAACCCCTAGTAAAACCAAAAGCCATGCAAGAGCCGAACCATTGGGCAGCAACAAAGATACACAGAAACATTTGCTTCATGTAGAAATAGACAAGCCATCCAATTCAGGTGACCCAAAGAGCAATATTATCCTGTCACTAAGTACTGAAAGCAGTGATGATGACTGCAGGGCTTCTGTTGTGAGTATAGACAGTGATGCAAGCCCAGAAGAGCCTGTGGCTGAATCTTCTTCACATGCAGGCAAAACATCAGGGGCTGGAAAATGTTTCACTGTGTCACTTCTTACAAGTGATGAGAATGATGAATCTGAAGGCAGTGACTTAGAAGAAATGGATAAAACACCTGTTAGTGCCAGTAAGCAGGGCACACTGGCCATGGACAAATCACATAATGAAGAACTGTTTGTCATAGATAAAACTGCTGGTTTAGACTTGAACAAAGCATACTATTTGGAGGAGAAGGACGTGGTGGATGAGGAGCAAAGTGAGAAGTCCTCAGACCTTGAAGATGACAAAGAGGAGTTTATAGATGAGGATGAAGATGTATTAAATGCAAGTAATAATATGTAAGTTTCCACCTAGAATTCAGCAAAATGGTATTCTGCGGAGTAAGGTCGGGGCATACAGGAGGGAAGAACATTAGTGGTCTGGGGATAAGAAGGTTCTAAGCAGAGCTTGGGAAATTACTTTAAAAACTTCTAGGTACTGTTATAGTTTCAAAGATGGCTGGAGAACTCAGTAAGATGGAGCACTTGGCTGTGGAGCCAGAGGTTGTGAGTTTGATTACCCCACTTTGCCTCCCAGGAGAAGAGCCAGCCTGTGTGGCCTTGGGCAAGCTGCACAGTCCCAGGGCGCCCTCAGAGGAAGGGAATGGTAAATCATTTCTGAGTATTCTCTACCTGAAAAGAGTTGTTATATATTGGAATCAACTTGGCTGCACATAATTATTTATTATTATTATTATTCCAAACCATTCTTCTGTAAAAGATCAGTAGCAGCCATTATAGTAGCAGTGTTCCCCTCTGGGGAGTGGGGAGTAGAGAGTTAGTGTGTATATGAACTGGCACTCATGCACATACTATATCTGATTTTATATGTGTTCATTTACAGTACATTTTCATTACTCTGCTTGTGATAACATGATGGCAAGTGTACAAATGTGGTTGTATATATTTTTGTTCTTTTACTTCTAGTTTGTCGTTGTCAAGCAGTATTGATCCTGGTCTAAATATGAAGAAGCTTGGGGGCTTATACATTAGTTTTGATGCAGAAAGGCAGAAATCAAGATCTCATGGAGTAGTGCCACTAAAAGAGAAAAAGAAAGATGAGGTAAACTTCCAAAACACTTTAAAAATGGAAATTGGTGATCAGTAGGTCAGTGTATCACCGTACTCCTAAATTCAGCATTAGTCCCTGACTAGAGTTTTGGAATCAGTGGAGCATATGTCATATTGCTTTGTTTTTTAAATAATCAGTAATAAATGCAGTGCTAATTCTAGCTGGAGTAGAGTCACTGTAATGTAAAACAGTGGTTCTTAACCTTTGTTATTCAGATGTTTTTGAACAGCAACTCTGGGAGTCCAAAACTCCTGAGTAACCCAAGGTTAAGAACCAGTGATGTAGACTCCCTTATTTGTGCACTTCTGTGAGGGTTCGTGTGTGTGGGCTGTCCACAGTTGGTGGTGAAGGCTTCTGGGAGTTACAGTCCAAAATTCCTGAGCAACCCAAGGTTAAGAACCAGTGATGTGAAGCGGTGGTCCCCAACCTTGGGCCTCCAGAGGTTCTTGGACTTCAACTCCCAGAAATCCTGGCCAGCAGAGATGGTGGTGAAGGCTTCTGAGGGTTGTGGTCCTAGAACATCTGGAGGCCCAAGGTTGGGGACCACTGATGTAAAAGACTCCCTTATTTGTGCACTTTATTATGTTGACTATGCAGAAAACTAAATTATTATCATTGAGACTTAAATCGACAATTCAGTACACGTGTGTAAGATTGACGTCAAGCCTTCCATGAGTTAGATGAAGATAACTGTGTTCAATGTATTTGCGAAGGCTTTCACGGCCGGGATCTAATGGTTGTTGTGGTTTTTTTCAGAAAGTATGTTGCTTTCATGTAACTCAATCTAGACTCCAGCTTTGTTAACACAGCTCCCAAATATGTTCAGTTTCTCCTATTTACAAGCAGGCGGAAGCTCCCAGTGGTATTTCGCACTAGTATGGTGTCATGTCTCAGTCATGCAAGATCATGTTTTCCAAATGCATTAATTCTACTTTTGTTGTTCCTGCTAAAGATTCAAGTTATCTCAGTCAGTTTCATATATAACAAGTCAATGAACCACTGAGACATGATAGGCCTTTGTATAGCTCTGCACTGCATAGAAAGAATCCTTGAATTATTCATGTTGGTACTTTTTGGACTGTTTTCATTGATGAGCCTTTCTTAGCTTAATTCTCACCTTGATTGCTTTCTAGAGTATCCCTGAACTTAGATCAGTATTTTCGATGTAGTGATTTGATCCGAAGAAAGTGTTTTTATTATATCTTCCAAATCCATTAGCTAATCCTTCTGTTTGTTGTCTGTGTAGTACTCTGGTTGTAGTCTCCTCCTTTAATCAAATGTGTCTTTATAGCTTTTGCAGAAGAGTATTATAACTCCAGATTTTGAAAAAAAAGAATGCATTCCACCCTTAAGAGAATCTGTCCATCAGTTAAAGAAACAACGTAGGGTAAGTAAGAGTGCTGTTAAGGACTTTCAGTGATCCTGCTTAAATCTACAAGTATATGTGTGGTTTTAAAGTTCTTTGTAGACATGTATACTTCTTTGTTCACTCTGTTTCTTAGCTGTTTCTCTCTCATAGGGTTGTTCATGTATACTGTTCACTCTGTTTCTTAGCTGTTTCTCTCTCATAGGGTTGTTATGAGTATTACATGGAATAATGGCATCCCTGTTGTCCTGATGGGACTAAATCATGTGATGACCACCACAACACTGTATTGGCCACATTTTTTTCTCCTCAGCTTTAGCTTCTGTGGCCAGAGAACAGCATATAAAAGGGATTGAGAGACATTTGGGGTAATGGTGGAAGGGAAGCATACTCTTAATATGGGGGACAAAGGAGAAAGCTGTGTGGTCATTGTACAAAAAGGGTGGGTAATGCCTTTATGTAATATATTATAGACAGACAACTACACATGTTAATATTTTAGTGATCCAATAAAGGTATTGCTTACCCTTTTGGATTAACTATGGAGGGTGCAGCATTTGGCTAGAATGCATGGGGAAGCGTATGATCATGTCAGTTCATAAACGTCAGTTACATACTTTTAATTTTGAATAAATGTTCAGTCTTGAGGCAGTATAGTATATATTCACGGCTGTGGTAGAAATATTTGTTGCATAAGTATTGAAAGGTACTACTGTGTATGAATCTGTTGGATATCTTGACTGAAAAATGGCAATGGTAAATCTTGCCAATTTTGAGCAGCAATTAGAGTGATAGTAACTATCAATGGAAGAGTCAGACACAATGACTAAACAACAACAACTATCATCTGGAAATAGTTCAGGTAGCCGAATTGAATGGCTGCTTCTATGTGACAGAAAAGAGCCAAAGGCAGGTCATCTCTTAGCAAAGCTGATAGAACAGCATTGTTTCTCTTTTCATTGCTGCTGCCACCTAACATATATAAATTACTATTGTAAGACTTGTCCCATGTATAAATTCTGTTACCTAATCACAGTTGTTTATCTTCTTTGACTCTCAAGAAGACTGAAGCATTTCAAGGTGAAATTAATCATGTTTGTTTCCAGTGCATTGTAACCTGTTTAAATTTAATGGCATTTAATTCAATTTGGTTTGGATACTTGGAAAATTACTTTAATATAAAACTGGAATGGAGAGGACAACCTTTATTATATATCCCATTTTTAATCAACAAGGCTTGTTCACGGTACTGGCCAGCTGAGTTTACTGCATAAAAGTACAGTTATTTTGATACCAAACTGACCTGCTTGAATAATCATCCTTGATGTTTCCAATGTAGGCAGAGAGAGCAAAAACAACAGGTGATGGCTGGTTTGGCATGAAAGCTCCAGAAATGACTGAAGAATTAAAAAATGATCTTAAAGCTTTGAAGATGCGGGCAGCTATAGACCCTAAACGATTTTATAAAAAGAATGATAGAGAAGGTCTTCCCAAATACTTTCAGGTAAGAAAAGTGAAAGGCTATTTTGCAGCTGTGTGTGCCTCCCTCATCTGTTTTTAAAATTTTCCTTGTAGAGATAAATATACCATAGAACATAATTGCCAAATTCAAGCTGCATTTTATGCCAATTATATTACAGGATTTTGGGCATTGATCTTCATTTACCTTCCTTAGAATGGCCGTTCAAATACAGTATATCTAATTCATCTCATTTTTTTCTTTTCTTAGGTGGGAACTGTTGTAGATTCTCCAGTAGACTTCTATCATGCTCGAATTCCCAAGAAAGAGAGGAAGAAGAACATTGTGGAAGAACTTCTCGCAGATTCAGAGTTTAGAAGGTATTTGCAGTTAGCTTCTCTTGAATATTTTAGCAGTGTGGAATAATGTTTTATGATCTTATGAAGAAATTCAGTGGGCTACCTTCATGCTTTATTATATTGAGTTCAGTTTAAAATGACAGTGACTGACACTGGTATCGTACCTTCTTATATTAAGGTGAATCTAAGGTTTCTGTTGCAAGATCGCTCCTTGCTTCTTCTAGTTTAAAACAATAGATTATTTGTCAGTACTCTTTCAACAAATGTACCAAAGTTCTGTCTCCATTTGCTGTATCCCCTAGACATGCTTGCTTTTAATAATTTGCAACAATGTCCTTGTTAGATGGACTAATGGACCCTTGAATATAGTGTCCTATTTTTAATAGTGGTCAGCCAGCTGCCTTCAGGAAGCTCACAGGGCGGCAGCCGCTCTCCCTTGATATTTGCTTCTGGCACTCAAATATAGTACCGCTCAGAATGGCACTGCCATTTAGCTATTGTGCCAAGTAGGAATTCTTGTTATTCAATTAAATTAAGTTAAATTGATTTTATTGTAAATCTGTATAGATTTTTCTGGGTTCTGTTTTTTACCCTACTCACCTTTCATAAAATTATTTCTCTCATTCAGATATAATAAACGGAAGTACCAAGACATCATGGCTGAAAAGACAGCCCTTGCAGCAGGCAAGAAAAATCGGAAGAAGAAGAAATTTCATAAATAGTATTAAAAATATTAAAAAGAGAGCAAAAGATTAGCTTCTAATTGTGAATTTCTGTGTGTAAGACTGTGCCAATGATAGGCTGAGATTTATCAGATCAACAACTACAAGACAAGGCTGGACCTGGTTTTCCAGTAGTGAACTGCTGGCTAGCTCAGTAGTTTAGGTATCTGTCTGAGGAGGCAGATGTTGGGAGCTCAGTTCCCCACTGTGCCTCCTTGACAGGACATGGGCTCAATGACCCATAAAGTCCCTTCCAACTCTAGTTCTAAGAATATGATGATGATGATGATGTAAGTGAAATTACCATATTTTTCCGTGTACATGACTCCCCCGATGTATAAAACGACCCCCTAATTTTGACCCTTGATGGAGGCGGAGGAGCACTTAATGGGCAACTGCTCCTCCACCTCCTGCTGTTACTGCTGTCTCCTCTGCCTGCCCAGTCACCTTTTCCAGTGCAACTGCCGGGGCTCACCTCCAGCTCACGTTGTCGCCTTATCCCCTGCCCTAAGGAGACGATTGCGGCGGTGGCAGGAATAGGCACCCAAGCATGCACGAGTGCTTGTTTGCCTCTGCTTCCTGCTGCCTCTGCCACTGGAGGACCAGGTACTGACATGAGCTGAGTCTGAGCCCGTCAGTCCCACTGGAGATGGTGATCGGGCAGGCAGGGGAGGTAGCAGCAAGAGGTGCCTGAGCACGTGTGAATGTTCCTTTGCCTCCGTCTCCGCCTGCTGCCGCCGCCGCCTCAGCCACCGGAGGAGACGACAAGCCCTGAGGCAGCAGCGGCAGCAAGAGGCACCTGAGCGTGCGTGCGACTGCCTCCTTCCATGTATAAAACAACCCTCAGTTTTTCTCATTATTTAAGGAAAAGGTGTTGGTTTATACAGGGAAAATATGGTAACTGCTATATTGAAGTACTAATAAAAGTTTTCAATAGGGAGGTTAGAATTATATAAAAGGAAATTGTAATCTTATATAATAACAATTCTGAACATGTATGGATCAATTTAACTAAAGTGGCCATTTTTTATTTTTAAAAATTATAAAACTGGTACTAGTTAGAATTTGACACTCACGGAAATGTATTAAATGCTGTATATTTACTGACCAAAATGTTTTTAAAAATTAACAATGAATTGATTTTAATGTATACTTATTAATCAGTTTTATAAATATTATGTTACTTTCCAGAATGTATATTCTGAAAAAAATACTAAGCTGAACAGGAAAATTCTACAAATGTTAATGTCAGTGTTAATATATTTTCAGATGTTAGCAATAATAGTCTACCTGTTTCCATATTTAGAAAATACATCTTTAGAAAAGGGTTAAAAGAATGCAGATACACTGAAGGAAGCCTTTTTTTTTAAAGAAAGAAACAGGAAATTCTCTAGCTGGGGGTGCTGTTTCCAAGTACTTAATGGGAAAGGTTTATTTTCATTACAATTGTAGTATATATATATATATAGCACAGTGCAAGCTGCCTTTAGGTTTTGCTGCACTAGAGGGTATACAGAGACTTTTTTAAAAGCAAGAAATCCCAGTTTTTCCTTGCCATTCTGTTTATCAGTGTTCTGTTCCACTCTGTGTGAGAAATATCCCTTGTAGTTTTTGCATTCAAGTGGTACTACCAAAGTTCTATCTTGCTCTAACATTGATCCTTCACTTAATACTGTACCACATTTGTGAATAAGGGACCACATAAACATTAAGCTACAATCCTAAACATGGTTCTAAGGATTGCTTCTGAGTAAATATCTACGGGTTTGCTCTAAACTAAACTAAACTGTTCCAGCTATGTTTGGGATCTTCTCCTTGGATTCAGCCTCACAAATAATTTTATGATAGTATTAAATATAGAATTTGGGAGCAAAAAATATATACACCCATACAAAAATATGGTGCTAAATATCCTTCCCTTAGGCATAGTGGCTGAAATCGTGTTGTGTAACATAACAAGAGTCATATGTTTCAGTTCATTCTGGCCAGCAAAGAAAGAATCTGCTGTACTTCTCAGGAACATGTACACATGAACACACACCCAAAAATTGTAGCGGGGGCTCTTTATTTACTGGCAAGGAACTGACTGAAACTTACAATGTTGTTTACGTTGCAAAATAGAATTCTGACCACTGACTGATTTATTTTATACAGGAAGAATAAGGATTAATGAAACACCAACATACGCCATGGTACAGAAACGGCATTGCTCGCCCTGTGTGATGACCTATTGCTGACAGGGCCAAAGTTTCTCTGCTGGTCCTCCTCGACATCTCAGCGGCCTTCAATACCATTGACCACGGTATCCTTCTGGGGAGGCTCTATGAGTTGGGAATTGGTGGCCTGGCTCTGGCCTGGCTTCCTTCCTTCTTGGAGGACCACCCCCAGAGAGTACAGCTTGGGGAGAGTGTTTCGGCCCCATGGAGTCTCAATTGTGGGGTTCCACAGGGGTCGATTATCTTCCCAATGCTGTTTAACATCTATATGAGGCCAGTGAGTGGGGTCATCAGGGGGTGTGGAGCCTTGTGTCATCAATATGCTGATGACACGCAGCTCTACATCTCCTTTTCACCAACCGCAGGAGATGCAGTTCTGTCCCTTCAGCGCTGCCTGGGGATTGTACTGCAATGGATGCAGGAGAACAGGCTGAGGCTGAACCCGGACAAGACGGAGGTACTGAGGGTGGGCGCCCCCACAGTTGGGGGACTGGGAAACTCCCTCTCTTTTGGGGGGGTGACTTTTCCCACCAAGGATGGGGTCTGCAGCTTGGGGATCCATCTGGACCCGGCGCTCACTATGGAAACTCAGGT